ACAATTAGTAAAATTTATTGTAAAAGTCAATTAACGGTCAAACTAACAGAAAGCATCAATTTAGACTTCAGCCGTAACACTTTGAAAGATTTTGTATCGTAGGTGGCACAAATGAAAGATTTGAGCAAAGTCTGCTACTTAATGAAATGTTTGGTACTATTGCTACAATTATCCCTAAAAAATAGAATAAAAATGAACTGTGACTAGATGTTAAGGTCAAACTTCGGATCTAAATGCATTTTTTAGAACACCTGTCCAATGTTGGGAAGTTAAATCCCTAAAATGAAATTTGTGAAAGTTTAGTGGCCAGGACCCACAATTACGAGGTTCACACTATTAGCGTATTCTTCTAGCAAAGAACACAATTTGAACAGCATGCGAGTTTGACGTATTTAAAAGGGAGAACCGAAAGAGAAAGGTGCCACCGACATCCAAGTCCCAAATCTCATGGATCCAAATGCAGTGGCGAAGGCATTCGTGTAGCACTACTACTCGACGTTCGACGCGAATCGAGCCTAGCTGTCGAACCTCTACCAGGAAGGGTCTATGTTGACTTTCGAGGGCCAGAAGACCATGGGTTCCCAGAATATAGTTATTGAAACTCAAGTATCGAAATTAGAGAGAGTAAAATTGAATATTTATCTTATCAAGGAAAGTCTGTGATTACATGGTATATATATGGAAGGGAAGCAAAATAGGCGGGAAAGCTGAAAATAGGAAAAATGAAAATAGAATGCATAATGACAGCTGGACTAACTAATCGCTAACTAGACTAACTAATACTAACTAACATTATTCCTTTAGTTTCTAATACTCCCCCTCAAGATGTGCGATAAATGTCCGTGACACACATCTTGGGCAACAAGTAGTTAATGGTAGAAGCAGGTAATGGCTTGGTAAAAAGATCAGCGAGCTGATGATTGGAGCACACAGGCAGAAGCTTGATAATTCCATCAGTAATTTTGTCACGAATGAAGTGGCAATCAATTTTGATATGTTTCGTCCGTTCGTGAAACACTGGGTTAGTAGCAATCTGGATTGCAGCATGATTATCACAATACAAAGTGGCTGGATAAGTAACATTGATCTGAAAATCACTCAACAATTGTCGAATCCATATAATCTCACTAACAGTAGCAGCAAGCGCCCTGTACTCTGCCTCCGCCGAAGAACGAGATATAATGGACTGTTTCTTTGATTTCCAGGACACAATGGAATCACCAACAAAGACACAAAAACCTGTAGTGGATTTACGGGTATCAATACACGAACCCCAATCAGCATCCGAAAAACCTCGAATGTTAATGCTAGAACAGGAGGTAGCCTGGGATGAAAACAGAAGCCCTGTCCAGGATGACCCTTCAAATATCTCAGAAGGTGATGCACTGCCTTCAGATGAGTTACTCGAGGCTGAGACATGTATTGGCTTAGCTTATGGATAGCAAAGGTTATATCAGGACGTGATAATGTCAGGTAGATTAGTTTGCCAATTAACTTCCTGTAAAGAGAAGCCTCTGGGAGTAAATCGCCATCATGTTGACTTAGAGCTAACTTAGTATCCATAGGACTGCTTACTGGTTTACAATCAAGATATCCAGCATCCTCAAGCAATTGCATAGTATACTGTCTCTGAGATATAACAATACCCGAAGATGAACGAGCAATCTCAATGCCTAAGAAGTATTTGAGACGACCCAAATCTTTAAGTTTGAACTGGGAGTGCAAGAAAGTCTTTAGGGAATTAATCAACTGAATGCTTGGC